CTGATCAGTGACCAGCAGCAGCGCCAGACGGCGAAGAGCGTTAGACAAAGGAGCGCGGCGGGCGGCCAAAGCTGCCGCAATTGGCAGACTGTGGCCGACGGGCGGACGCAGGTCCCAGGGGGCCAGTCTGCGAAAGCTCGGTACTTGCAGTGTGTCTTGGCTGCATTAGGGGGGGGGTGTGCCCTCGAAGGAATCCGGGACCTGCAGGGCGACAGGGACGCAGGATCTGAGGCGACGGGCAAGCACACGAAGAAGGTGAGGGCGAGACGGAGACGAAGCAGCAGCCCTGTCTGCTGACGCCCATGATCAACCAGCTAACTCTCTCGGCTGTGACTGATGCAGGGCGAGCCCAACATCTCGGAACAATTGAGCCCTGGGCGACGCCAGGATCGGATTCAGGCAGAAGCCAAAGAACCAGCCGCCTGGAAGATCAGCGCCTAACAGAAGCCCAGAAGGGCCAGGAGGGAGGGCAACGAAACCGTATCATCACATCTCGCAACCGCCACAGCCCTCAGAAGACAACAGGGCGCAGAGCACAAAAAGGCAAAACCATCGAACATCCCCGACAAGGTCAAATCTCCTAGCAAGCCTCACTCGACCCAAACTATCGCACGGCACCGCCATCACCATCGACCGCAATAACACTTCAACGAAACGGACCCTTGCCGGCCGGGCCCACGCGACTCCATTCTCCCACCGATTCAACCACCCCCCGCTCCCTCTTCTTCAATCCCCTCCCCGAGCCCAGTCCAACCTTGGGACCAAACCGCACCCCTGTAGCGCGCCCCAGCAGCCTGGACATTGGCCTGGCGTCATTGGAACCGGCTCCCGTTCCTTGCCTTCCCCTTCCAACCCCCCCCCCCCTCCATTCGGCCGCTGGTGGAGGCGCCTGCAGTGCGGTGCCAGTGCTAAATTAACTGCGGCACCACAGACTGGACTGAGAGGAAGAGGAGACGAAGAGAAAAAAAAAACCCAGCCCCTTGTCGGGTGTGCGCGCGCCCCCCCCCCCCGTCCCCCTACCCCTAATTAAGGGCTCCATCGAACACCTCATCGACCCGCGGGCCTGGTGGGACCTTTGGCCGCACTGACGCTGCACCAGGCGTGCCCTGCCGCTGCATTCGCTTCTCAAGGCGAGGCAAGGCTTCGAGGAGCCTGTCCGGCTGGCCTTTAATAAAGATGGAGTATGGCGGGTACATGTATGCCGGCGCTGCCCCTTTCCCTCCCATCTACCAACGGACGGCCCAAGGAGAAGAAGAAAGGTGCTGCCATCATCGCCGCTGCCGCCGCCGCCGCTGCTGCTGCTGCTGCCGACGGTGACGATCACAAGACCGGGACCAG